CTTTTGTGTCCTTGATATAGTAGCATTGCGTAAAAACTTTATCGAAATCCGAGCGGTACTTCTCAAGTTATAGGCGTCAGTAGGCGTGGGAAGTGAAATGACGGAATCGAAATTTATTGCACATTCAGATAGACCCTACTATAGGCAGATGATTGGTGTATATAGTATGGGGTTTTCATGATTGATTTTTGAGCTACGAGCAATTCAATGTACAAATACAGCGGTCATATTTGACAGCCTACCAGTCCGTCATTTTAGAACATAGTGACAAATCTTGGGTTGCTAGCATCATGAAGTACTCATGAGGATCTTGAAGAAGAGGTATCACATGACCCACCATGCCATTTGAAAGAATGTGCACAGACGACCAACTTCCACCATATTGACATTTTCAAATGTCGCTTTCACGCTTAAATATAGCATTCATGCAACTATTACATCTCATTGGCCTGAAATTCAGCTTGCTAGCTTTATCGATTCGACAACCAAGCAGACAGCATTTTGAAAAGCAATGTAGATTTACGATAATAACGTTTACCCTGGATATTTTGGTAATTGTTTTTATATTCAACGGTTAGGAGGTGATTCCAGATCTCCTACAACTCTGACTCAATTGGTTTCCAAAACCTAGTGTTCTAGGTATGCAAGGTTATAAATAATGACTGGCCCGATAACAAAATTCTCAAAACCTGCTTAGCGCGATGGCACAGCACTAATTACAACGCTGATGGTGAAAACTGACGGCGGGTTCATACATAGAGAGTCCAAATGTAGTGAGACATTTTAACATCTGTTTCACGTGATGATAACTAGTCATCATCGCAATTGAAATAGCTTCATATAGCATTTCTTTTGTACGCCCATGATAAGAGATTGGGAAGATCTTATACTCTGATGTACCACTTATCTATATCGGATTTAATATTTTCTTTGCGACTTCGTGTTTTTTGCTGTTTCAATTGGTATTAGAACGAGTCTATAACAGGTATTTCACTTATGCCAAATTTATGTGTATTACACAAATACTCACGTTACCTAAGTGCTTAGTAAAAATATTAGAATCAAATAATATTTAAAAAAAACACGCTTTTATACGAGGGTGGTCCCAGAAGTACCCGGACTGACCTAGAGACGGCGATAGTTGTTTGAAAAATATCATTGTATTAGAAAGTATGCAAACTATAAAGCATATGTGTCAAGTTTGAAGACGCCACGTTGTTTAGTAAAGGGTTGTCCAATAGGGACGCAGGAAAGTAAAAGTCAATTTGACATAGACGCCATCTTTGTTTTCTGTCACTGACATGTCATTTTGTTAGTTGAATGTTTACCATTGATCGCTATGGAGTCGTATTCGATTGAAGACCGCATTAAAGTTATTCAAGAGCACTACAAAAATGGTGCAAAAATAAAAAACACGTTTCGCGCGCTTCGTGAACATTTCGGTCGCAACAACCGCCCAAACGAAACAACCATCGGTCGTCTGGTGCGTAAATTCGAGGCAACAGGTTCTGTGGCAAATCTGCCAGGCTCTGGCCGGCCAAGGAGCGTTCGCACACCGGAAAATATTGCTGTTGTGAAGGAGAGTGTGAGAGACGATCCGAAACAATCAACAACGCGTCGATCCCAAGAATTGGGCATTTCGACAACCAGTTTGGTCCGCATTCTCCACAAGGATTTGAATGTACACGCCTACAAGATCCAATTGACGCAAGAGCTGCGTCGGGCCGACCATTTTTCGCGCCAAATGTTCTCAGATTGGCTCCTTGGACACCGCCAAATTGATGCCAATTTTTCATCAAAAATCATGTTCAGCGACGAAGCGCATTTCACTTTGAATGAGACGGTAAACAAGCAAAACTGCCGCATCTGGGCGAACGAAAATCCCCGTGAGTATCAAGTGCAGCCGATGCATCCTCAAAAAGTGACTGTGTGGTGTGCATTGTGGTCTAAAGGCATCATCGGACCTTACTTTTTCGAAAATGCGGCCGGGGACGCCGTTACCGTCAATTCTGAGCGATATCACGTGATGATAGAGGACTATTTTTTGCCGCAACTTGAAGGAATGGATATGGACGATGTTTATTTCCAACAAGACGGTGCAACATGCCACACAACCAACGTCCATATCCATCGATTGCAGTCCTTCTTCGGTGATCGCGTGATTTCGCGCAGAGGAAATGTGCCATGGCCACCAAGATCGTGCGATTTGACTCCCTTGGACTTCTTTTTATGGGGATATTTGAAAAGCAAAGTCTACGTCAACAAACCAGCCACCCTCCAGGAACTCAAAAACAACATCATTGCCGAGATAAATGCCATAGAACCGACCATGTTGCAAAATGTGATTGAAAATTTCGACCATCGCGTGGACGTCTGTAAATCCAGTCGTGGTGAACATTTGAGCGATATTATTTTTCATACATAAATGGTATAAATGAACCTTTAAAATAAAGTACCCAACTTGATTTGAATATCAATCTTTCTTGTTTTAATATGCGTTTACTTTCCTGCGTCCGTTTTGGACAACCCTTTATTTGTTTGGCAGCCATCAATACTGAACGTCTTCAGTGAATTTGTGAAAATGGAGAAAATTGGTTATCGTTATGTGGTACAATACTTTTAGTCTGCTCCTTCGTTTACAACAGTAAAATATTGGGTAGCAGAGTTTAAACGAGGCCGTGTGAGCTGCCAAGACGAACATCGCAGTGGTCGACCAAATGAGGTGACGACTCCAGAAATGGTGAAGAAAATTCACAAAGCGGTACTGAATGATCGTCGACTGAAAGTGCACGAGCTAGCAGACATAGTAGGCATTTCAAAAAGTGCGGTTCATCACATATTATGTGAAAATTTGGACATAAGAAAGCTGTGTGCAAGGTGGGTTCCGCGATTGCTCACAATCGAGCAAAAACAGTGTCGTGAAGATGTTTCAATTGAGTGTTTAGCGAAGTTTCACAGCAACAAAGCAGAATTTTTGCGTCGTTTGAGAACCATGGATGAAACATGACAGAGACAAAAGAACAATCAAAACAATGGACTCAAAAAGGGACAACCGGCTTCCAAGAAGGCGAAGACCGTTTCATCTGCAGGCAAGGTTATGGCGTCGGTTTTTTGGGATGCGCGTGGGATAATTTTCATTGAATATCTTGAAGAAGGTAAAACTATCAACGGCGAGTATTATGCGAACTTATTGCAACGTTTAAGGGATGAAATCAAGCAAAAACGACCGCATTTGATTAAGAAGAAGGTGTTGTTTCACCAAGACAATGCACCAGCTGACAAATCCCTTATTGCAATGGCCAAAATTAACGAATTAAAGTTTGAATTGCTACCTCATGCACTCTATACGCCAGACTTAGCCCCCTCGGATTATTTTCTGTTTCCAAACTTCAAAAAATGGCTCAGTGGTCAAAGATTTTCCAACGATGAAGAAGTGATGTCGGCAGTTAATGGCTATTTTGAGGAGCAAGATAGTTCTTATCATGAAAAGGGTATCGAACTTATTGAACATCGCTGGGAAAAGTCTATAGAGCTCAAAGGAGATTATGTTGAAAAATAAATACATTCTTTTACAAAATTTTTGTGTTTTCTTCGTTGGGTCGGGTACTTCTGGGACCACCCTCGTAGCTAACCGAACAAAAAGTAGGAAATAATTTTTAATTACAAAGAGTTTATATTACAGTTGTAGATGGTCGAACAATCAATCATATAATTAATGACCTCAAAATAAAATTATAATAAAATTTAAATTATTAACAGAATAATTCAATTCATAGTAAAAACCGTGGGGTGCTTCATATATTAAATATTACAATGATTCTATTAGCAAGTATCTATGAGAGGAGAGTTATGAAAATGTCGTAAAATATACCCCACGCTTTTTATTCTGAATTGAATTATTCTGTTAATAGCTTAAATTTTATTATAATTTTACTTTGAGGTCATCAATGGTGATTGATTGTTGGACCATCTACTACTGTAATATAAACTCTTTGTAATTAAAAAAATATTTTATAATTTTTAGTTCGGTTAGCTATAAAAGCGTGTTTTTTTAGTTTTTTTAGACTATTATTTATTTCTAATTTTTTAGTTCGATTGATGAATTGTTTTTTGTGGACATGTGGTATTGAAATGTCTTACGAATCACTTCGTAATCTAATCATTTCATTTAAAGCTCCACTATTGCATGGGGTTTGTCGTGTTAACTTAGAGCAGTCAAATTCTTTAATCCTAATACCGTCTAAAGATCTTACACGACGAAGTGCTACATAAGTTTGTCCAGCAGCAAACATTCGCCAACCTAGATAAATGGCAACATTCGCAATTAACAAGGTGAGAATTCACTACATTGAAAAAGTATCTGCCTCTTTTGTGCTGTGCCGAGAGCCAGAACCAACAAAGACTAAGTCCGAAACTGCACGCATGCGCAGATCGGGCGCCAGCTCTATCCCACTTACTTCCCCACAGAGAATCTATAAAATAGTTCATCAATCCTGGCGGACCTAATAAGGATAATGGAAAACTATCATCAAATTATTGCATTGTCATCGGTCCTTAATGCGTGTGCGATGTTTCGAATTAATCAAACTTCTGGAAATTGGTTAAAATTATGCTCAAAGATACCGTTACATACATGCAGGTCAAGCTACTAAAAGCGTGTTAAAAAGTGTTGCGTTACCACGTTCTTACTTTGCAACAATACATTGGTGATTATATTGCACCTCGCCTTCATAAATAAAGATAAGTGTAGTAGCTCTGCTTGCAGTCAAATCTCACACAGTTCAAAGCAAATTTTCTCACCCTGGATACAGTCCTGTCCTTACCATCATTTCGTCGAACGCTCATACTTTGTTTGTGTGTCGAATCGAGCAGTTCGTTCCCGGTTAGTGGGTACCTTAGTGCCGGGATTTTATCAAATTGTGGGTGTCATGCCCAAAAAATCAATTAAGCGAAGGCACCGCAGCCTTTCATGCGAATCTAGCGCGGAAAATGCAAGAAATATGGGTGATGTAATGAATTGTCTTCAAGACGTTACTAAGAGATTGCGGAAAATTGAAGATCGCCGCAGCCGAAGCCCAGTACGGAAACGACATCAGAGAGTAGTGTCGTCTTTTTCTTCATCGTCTCAGTCGTCGGAGACCTCTCTGTCATCTAGATCAAAGACTCCCCCTGGTTCGAGTATAATGGATCGGTCCGGGGGCCACGCTTCAAATTGCATGGTTTCACCGATTTGTTTACCTTCGGCTGGTGAGTGAGAGGTATCGATGAGGGTACCTATTTATTTCGTCTGGTACCAATGAGTGTACCCAATTATGTCGCCTGGTACCTTTTTTGTTTTTGGCTGGATGATAAGGTATCAATGAGCATACCTTCCGTTTATCCCGCTCTTCACAGTTTCTGGTCAAGTTTTGACAACGTGTCACATTAGTGTTGATGATACACTTACACATCCAGGTGGAATAAATGTGAGTAACATTCGAACCTTTTTTCGTACTTGAGGGTATCAAGGAAATATACCTATTCTCTAAGCAGGTATCGATGAGGGTACCTATTTATTTCGTCTGGTACCAATGAGTGTATACAATTATGTCGCCTGGTACCAATGAGTGTATTTACGTATTTTGCCGGTATCGATGAGAGTACCTTTTTTGTTTTTGGCTGGGTGATACGGTAGCAATGAGCATACCTTCCGTTTATCCCGCTCTTCACAGTTTCTGGTCAAGTTGGGACAACGTGTTACATTAGGGTTGATGATACACTAACACATCCAGGTGGAATAAAAATGTTGTTTCTTCCAGGGCAAGGAGACGCCCCTCCTCCTGGTGTCGAGCTCTCAGAAGATGTTGTCGAAATCATGGGCACACCTGATACCAACACATTCATTTATGGGCCGAATTTACACAAAGATTTAGTTTCCCGTTGGCAAAAAGCTGTGGTCGCGGGGCTGTCTGAAGAGGACAAAAAGGAACTTTGCAACAAGTATCCTACCCCCGAAAATTTTCAATACATGGCGGCCCGAAAACATAACCCGATGGTTGTCAAGGCGATATCATCCTCAAATTTACAAAGGGACACTCGGTTGATGGCTCTACAGGGTCAAACAGCCGCATGTTTAGCCTCTACGGACCAACTTTTTACTTTAATGTTGGCTGAAGGGGGGGGGGCAACCGAAAATACATCAAACTGCTCAACGATGCAAGCGGATTAATGCTAGACGTTTTCCATCAACAAACGGTGACTCGCAGAGGATTAATTTCGATTAATTTAAACCAGGATTTCCAAAAGGCCAACGAAGATATACCATCGGACTTTTCGGCGAACATTTGGAGGAGCGTCTCAAGGCTTCCACAGCTTGGAGGTGACCGGGAAGACCATAAAACTAAAGCCGGCAAAATCGGTTCGTAAGAAGTCTTTGAACTCCTAGGCCCCATCTTGACAACACCGAGCAACTCGTCGGGAGGGGGTCCAATATCAAGCTCAGCAGCGCTCGGGGTTCAAGCCACCACTGCGACACAAAAGTCAGGAATTTCGCAGCGACAACAACCCTCAACGCGGACGAACAAATCGCAGTTGGCAATGAATCCAACCTCTGAGGTGCGTGTCGCGTAGGCTTAAACATTTTTACCCCAATTGGCTTAGGGTTTGTCAGGATAAATTAGTCCTTAGTTGGGTTAAAGGTTTAAAGTTACCATTTAGACATTATCCTAAACAACAAAATTTTGCAGTTACCTCATGGTTACTTCAGAATCAAGCTTCTATCCAAGTTTGCATAGTTAAATTACTACTAACAGGAGCCATTACGATGGCTTCGGCGAGCGATAAGCAGAACATTTCTAAAATTTTTCTCAGGCCAAAAAACGATGGCTCTAATCGTCTCATTCTGAATCTGAAAAATGTCAACAGATATATACATTGCAGCCATTTCAAGATGGAAGATAGTCGCACCGTAAAGAATTTAGTCCGCAGGAACTGTTTCATGTGATAGGTATAAGGGATAAGCCAGGAGCTATCCCTTATAGCATCCAGTTGGCCGCGGGGTGGACGGAGAAATCTAAAACATTCGCAAGATTTTATCAAAAACCATTAGTTTCTAGTAAGTCTGACTTTGCGGAAGCAGTGTTCAGTTGTGCCTAATGTTAAAGAAATTAGAAATACTTGTTCTTGTTCACTATAGAGAAATAGTGGAAATCACTGTTAAGTTTGCAGTTACTAATATGCATATAATTACGCATATGTAACTTGATGATATTAAACAAATTGTTGCAACTTACTTTGAACTACGACACTTATCCTTATTTATGAAGGCGAGGTGCAATATAATTGAGAGATTAAACGGACTTACCTAAGTGAAGTTTAATTCTAATTATATGTGCCTCGCCGGAATAAATAAGCTCCCGCCCTTTACTCTACCCTCCCCAATATGTTGCAACAAAGCTTTGAACAGGTATGAGCGTTCGACGGAGTGGTGGTAAGGACAGGACTGTATCCAGGGTGAGAAAATTTGCTTTGAACTGTGTGAGATTTGACTGCAAGCAGAGCTACTACACTTATCCTTCTTTATTACGGCGAGGCTCATATAATTAGGATTAAACTTCACTTAGGTAAGTTCGTTTTATCTCTCAATTTTTCATTTCCTCTTGCGGAAAGCTATTCGATATATGGATCGGTGTTTACTAAAATTAGTTCTCGTTAGGTTGTTCGAAATCAGTAAACTGTAGCGCGCGTGTACAAGTTGGTAAGGATGCAATGAAAACTGCCGAAACTATAATGAATCCAGTCAAGGTCAGGCCAGACCTTGACTGGTAAGTGTATTTTTTGTGAACATGTCTCACAAACTATGTTTTTGTGATATTTGATTTGGTCGGAATCCTTTAGGAAGAAATAAAGGAGTTAGTCAGGTTAACGAAAAAATATAATAGTAGACCAGTGTTTTGACATTTTCCTCTGAACGATGGAAATGGCGTCATTCATTGTCAGATACTTCACTACAGTTTCAAACCCCCTGCCACCTATCTTTAAGCTTTAATAAGCCAGAGATTAACTTTCGTCCTAGTATAAATATAAAATTTTTTTGTTTCTCGGAGTACTACCAAAAGGTGTTACTGCAGTAACCAGACGATTTTACTGGTTTTTACATTGTGCTATATACCAAAAGTACGAAATTCCTAGCAGTGACTCATCTATGCTAGTCGAAAAGCCGCAGTTGCCAGATTTCAAAAATGAATTTACCTATCCATTTAAAAAACTATAATTATGATGTTAAACTAGTAAGAAGTGAGAAACGTATATTCAGATCGACAAATGGTAGTAGGACTATGAATGTGACACGATGTAAAATTTCTACTCTGACTGACGAGAGAGGAGTTCGTAAGTCATCAGTTTGGTAGTTTCGAATGTGGAATTGCCGACTATAAGAACAACATGACAACTCTGTCAGGTATCGGGCAGCCGATGATCGCGATTGGTGTATATCTCCGTTGTCCCTACCCCACTGCTATGAAAAACTAACATGACAACTCGCGGATCATTCCAGCGGCGTAGCCTAAGGAGAATAGTTCGAACGCGATTAAATAGTTATTGAGAATAGACGAGACATAATGGATGGGCAAAGTGAAAGTTTGACACAAAAAAAGATGTAGAACCTTTTCTACTCGGGAGAGAGAGTTAGTACACAACGTTTACGACGGACTTCGTGCGCGAGACAAAACATTAGGTGTTCAGGATGCTGTTTTACTTCGTAGCATCTTAGCAAAAGTGTCTGAAACATCAATTTTTCAATAAAAAACTAACCGAGAATAACATCCGACGACTAGTGGTAGTACGAGGGGAAGGAAAAAAATCCTTCTGGATAAAGATGCCAAATATGCTGTTTGCAGACACATACATTCTTTCTTTTCCGAAACGAGTTGCCTAAAATACAAAAAATTGCAGCTAAAACTGAAAAGGACGACAGTATACCGAAAATTTCTATGAGGGTTCTAAAAAGAACGATTCATGAGTTGAACTTTAGGTATTAGAAGCAGACGAGGAAGTCATGTCTGATTCAAAAAGATGAAATTGTGATGTGGCGACGTAAGTGCTTCGCGGAAATGCGGAAGTACAGATGCAAAAATAGGAAGATATATTATCTCGATGAAACGTGGGTGAATGAAGGATACACTACGCCAAAGGTATGGCAAGATATGAATATTACCAGTCGTCAACAGGCCTTCAAGGATGGATTTTCTACAGGACTGAAAGCACCAACTTTCGAATTTTTCTAGGTCATAACTGCTGTGTATTTTTATAATTCAGCATTACTCATTTTGGACATCTGCATCTTTGGTTTCCTACATATACCTGTATAATGTAAATAATTATAATCGACTTAATGACCCCACTGTTTCTAGGAGACAATCAGAATAACTTGCCGCTTTCACTAAAGGATTATATATCCATTATTATCCCATCCATTGCTAGCCACCATAATCGGATTATACGTTTCAATCGCCAGGTCTTAAAAACTTAATGTAGTTTTTCGTAGTTAAATGGACTTGCGATCCAATGAAACAGTTTTCTGTTACAGAGCTGCCTATGTTTAATAATTTATTCAGGACTCTATAAAACACTGAAAACCATTACTCATGAAAGAAAAAAACAAAGATAAACTGATTCGTGACTTAAACGGATGGAAAGTGTTTTTATTAGGTTCTTGTCAGAAAAAAAGGAAATACAAGAAAGTCATGTAAAGTACGGTCATTAGAAGACTAATATCCTTCATTTACTGTTCTCCTAGATGCTTGAATTTATTGAAACTTTATTTCAGGTAAAGGGCGGGGGCTTATGGTAACACATATTGGCAGCGATGAAGGGTTTCTGGACAAAGGATTACTGACATTTGAGTCCAAAAAGACTGGAGATTATCACGATGATAAGGATGCAAATAGATTTGAAGCATAATTCAAAATCATTTTGCCGGATATTCCTTCTGGTTCAGTCGTGGTAATATATAATAATATATAATATAATATAATAATATCACAGTCGCCGTCTAGAAAAGTTCCCTACTAGTTCATGGCGAAAAAGTGACATAATAAATTGGCTCCAGACAAAAAACATTACATACCAGGAACAAATGCTTAGAATTGAACTCCTTAATATCGCTAGGCAAAACATACCCACGTCAATATTGTACGCTATAGATGCAATGGGTCGCCAGCATGCCATTATTGTTCATCGCTTACCACCCTATCATTGTGAACTAAATCCAATTGAGTTGATAAGGGCGCAAGTCAAAGGCGAAAGAGCAAGGAACAATACAACCTTCAAGTTAGCGGTCAAGTTATTGTAACAAATGCTATCAACAACGTATTCAGCGAGAACTGACAAAAATGAATTCAACACGTCATCAACTAGGAGCAGAGAATGTGGAATCTGGATACTCACATATACATTATTGTTGAACCAGTTGTGATTGAGTTGAATAGCGACGATTCTGAGTCGTCTAGTGATGACTCCGATATTGAATAATCATTGATTTTTAGATCCTAATATAATTGTGTTTCTGACAACTGATATATATATATATATATATATATATATACAGGGTGACTTCGAAGTTGAGTCATTTATTTTAACAGTGAGTAGATCTGATCAAAAGAAATGTTTTTTCCTTTACCATTTTTCTGGTAAAATTAAAGTAACAAAGTTATAGCCCTTTGGAGGTTTAAGTACCGCCCTGTCTCAATAATAATATTATGTGCTCGTGTTTGGCGACAACGGATATAATCCGCCTTATCGGTTCATCGCATCGGAAACAAAAAAGCGAAAGAATTTGGAACGATGTTTTTACAATTATTCTATTCAGTTGTATACAGTCAGTGTCAGTCGGTAACGCGTGAGTGAATAGTGGTGTCTGTTGCGTGGCTCAAACAAAATAAAAAATGGCACATGTTTACGCGGATCGGTTTCCCAATCGAGTGCAACCAACCCCTCGTGCCTTTGTTAATGTAGTACAAAGGGCTCGTGAATCAGGTGACATGCCGGTGCTCCAAGACCGCACGATCAAATGCAGGTCCGCACTGAAATACTTGTCGGGAGGATACTTTATAAAACAAGGTAATTTTTTTTTTTATTTTTACACACATATTTTGGTTTATCTTCCTTCTACAATCATTATCTGAAAATTAATGACTCAACTTCAAAGTCACCCTGTATATATATATATAC